AGGGGAGGGAGAGGGAGAAGGGATTGACATGTGAAGCAAGCTTGTTCCTAATTTGAACTAATAAAAAAAATAAGAAAAACTGGGTCATTGTCCTTTCTAAGTGTATAATTCCAGAGAAAAGAAACCCTTTTCAGAGCAAAGAATTCAAAGGCTCACAGTAATCAACAGATTCTGTTTGTCCTTCTCTGTTTCATTATCAACTCCTTTTTTTGTATAGTTACCTTCTTTACATACTAGCAAAGCTCCAATGAGGCCTGAATTTAAATCCTTCACCAGATCCACATGAGATAGATATGAATACGTGAGACATGGAGGGTCAGAGGTCATTGGGCCATTCTCTTTCAGGACATGCCAAACATAGGTATGACTTTCACCAGGAAAAACTTTATCATCTTCCTTCTCCCTTTGGCTTGTCTGATCTTCATATTCAGCTCCTAAAGGAAGAAGGCATAAAATTGTCCTTTTTGTGTGTTTACTGTCAACTCAGAAACATACTAAAGCCCATAGTTGCTAATGGATTCAACATAATAAATATACTTTCAGGATTTTGAAAGCTCTCACTATAAGAAATGATAAAATGAGGCCAGGCAGTGGTGGTGGATGCCTTTAATCCCAGAACTCAGGAAGCAGAGGCAGGCGATCTCTGTGAGTTCGAGGCCACCCTGGTCTCCAGAGCGAGTGCCAGGATAGGCTCCAAAAGCTACACAGAGAAACCCTGTCTCGAACCCCCCCTAAAAAAAGAAATGATAAAATGTTCAAGGACATAGATATGTTCAAGTTGTTTTAAATATTGTACAATATGTATCTGTATTAAATATCATATATTATACCATTACCATACACTATATACATATGATAAAATAACATTTATCTTTTAAAACACTGTGTATTAAAACATTATACTGTACCTCCAAAGCATATGCAACTTGTTGTGGAATATTAGTTTAAGATGTGTTGCATTTGTTTATGTTGTGAAATATTAGTTTAATGATGCAAAGATGTGTTGCATTCTTTCATGCTACATTTGTTTAGCTCTGTAAAGATGTGTTACTTTGCCTGCCTAAAACACATGATTGGTCTAATAAAGAGCTGAAATGCCAATCGCTAGGCAACAGACAGAAATAGGTGGGGCTGCCAAGCAGAGAATAAAAAGGAGGAGAGACATGGGGAAGGGAGGATTGAGAAAAGGAGGACTGAGGCCACTAGAAGCAGCCACACAGTCAGCCACTGAGGAAGGAAGGAAGGAAGGAAGGAAGGAAGGAAGGAAGGAAGGAAGGAAGGAAGGAAGGAAGGAAGGAAGAAATCTAAAAGCCCAGAGGTAAAACATAGTTAAAGAGAAATGGGATAATTTAAGTTAGAAAAGCTGGCTAGAAACATGCCAAGCTAAGGCCAGGTATTCATAAGTAAGAATAACTCTCTGTGTATTTATTTGGGAGCAAGGTGACATGTGGCTGCCCTTGGCCACCACTAAGTCCAAGTATCAGGCAAAAGTCTAGAGATTTGGATGAAGGACAAGATGCCTGGTCCACTTTCTGAGAGAACGCCTCTCACCTTTATTGTGGAGCAGCCTTATATACAAACTTATACAAACCCCAGATCAAAGGGTTCACAACAGGATATTGATCCTAGTGGGGTGAGGTTGGGAAAACAGGAGGTACCTGTGATTATGCTGGAAAACAACTCTTAGAGAACCCGTGGGGGCTGGGTCCCCACAGTGAGACAGGTTCCCAAAAAAAAAAAAAAAAAAAAAAAAAAAAAGCCAACTACAGGAACATTATAGTAATACTGGATGTTTAGCCTACACCAACCTTCCTGGCTAGTTTTTATTATCAATTTGACACAACCAGAGTCACCTTTTGTTGTGATAAAATAGCATCAACAAAGGCAACTTAAGGAAGAGTCTATTTTGGCTTATGGTTCCAGTGAGTTAAATGTCAATAATGGAAGGGAAGACACTGACACATGCATCTGGAGAAGGCACTTGAGAGATCATGTCTCGGTTGCACAAAGGAAGTAGAGAAAGCTAACTAGAGGTAGGGGTGGGTATGTGTATAAATTCTCAAAGCCTATTCCCAGTGACATATTTTCTCTAGAAAGGATCTGTGTTCTAATAGCTCCATCACCTCCCCAAACATCATCACAAATGGGGATCAAGTGTTCAAACAAGTGAGACTATGAGGGACATTTCTCATTCAAACCATTATACTGGACATTTTGGGTTCACAAGGAAACCATGAAGAAGTGAGAACTTGACTTTGTCCTTAAAAAGTTACACGATTACCTTTATCAAAAATTTTAAAGTCCTAAAGGAGGGAATTTCTTTCTTTGTCCCAGCTTAAGTTAGAAAAGATATCCATCTTTAAGCCAATTAACTACAACCAAGAGGATGGGATACATGGATCAATTGCTTATCTCTATACCAATAACTGTGACCATGGAGATTTGGGCTTTTGAAAAGTGGCACATTTTGTTTGAAATATATTTAGAAGGGGCAATATTTTTAGACCTAGAAAAATAATTAACTTTATATACTTCTTAGTAACTCATGCCCTTATGTGAATAAGTGCATAAAACACATTCAATGCTGAAATTGTAAAATTTAATGTAAAGTTCCATAGATTCATTTCAATGCTAATTCTATTTTTAAATTAGAAACAAGCTTTTACATGCCAATCTCATGTTTCCTCTCCCTCCCCTCCTTCCCTGCTCCCTCAACCCTCCATCCCAACCCCTTTCTGCTTCCCAGGGATGGTGAGGCCTTCCATGGGGGATCTTCAAACTCTGTCATATCATTTGGAGCAGAGCCTAGACCCTCCCCCATGTGTCTAGGCTGGGAGAGTATCCCTCTATGGGGAGTGGACTCCCAAAGTCGATTCATGTACTAGGGATAAATACTGATCCACTACCAGAGGCCACATAGATTGCCCATATCTCCAAACTAACATCCTCTCTCAGGGGGTCTGGAACAGTCCTATGCTGTTTTCCCAGGTATCACTCTGGGGTTTATGCACAACCCCTTGTTCAGGTTAGCTGTCCATGTGGGTTTCTCCAGTCTAGTTCTGACCCCTTTGCTCATCACTCCTCCCTATCTGGAACCGGATTCCAGAATTCAGCTCAGTGTTTACTTATGGGTGTCAGAAGGGGCAATTTTTTTTAAATACAGGGTCTTACTTTATAGCTCAGGTTAGCCTAGAACTTACAGTGATCTTCCTGGCTCAGCCTCATGAGTGCTGAGATTAGAGATGTGTACTACCAAGATTTATTAGCAATACTTTGGGGCTTCTCTGCTCCCAATATTAAGAATGTAACATGCTTCCTTCCCTCTTGGCCACCCCAACCTTTCCTGAGCCCTACTCCTGCACAAGGCCCCCATCACCCCAGGATCTCTCTGGCCCTGTGCCTGCATAAAGTAGATCCACCCAGACAGGGAGAACCTCCCTGAGTCTGGAAATACCTCACCCTTCCTTCCCCCTCTACCAGCCTGACCACTCCTGAGTGAGACTACCAGGAGAAGCAAGACCATCCAGAGCTGCAGACATTGAAGTCTTGGCCCACAAACACCACCGGGTGACAAGAGGAGATAGAGAGACCCCATATACACCCACTGGAAGAAGAGATGGGAAGAAGGCAGAATAAGAACACACTCAACAACAGAAAGAACAACACGGCACCACCAGAATCTAGGGACTCCACACCAGCAAGATCTGAAAAGTCACAACACAGAAGAAGAAGAAGAGATAGACCTATGTATCTACTTTATGAAGACATTCGAGACCCTTAAAGAGGAAACAGGAAAATCTCTTAAAGAAATAGAAGAAAAAATCAAACAAAAAATAAAGAAATAAGTAACTCTCTTAAAGAATCTAAAGAAAAAACAAGCAAACAAGTGAAGGAAGCATTCAAAACAGTTCAAGGCATGAAAGCTGAAATAGACGCAATAAAGAATGAGAGGAAGCTGGAAATAGAAGGGCTGGACAAACAATCAGGATCTAAGGATGTGAGTATAAACAGTAGAATATAAGAGATGGAAGAGGGAATCTCAGGTGTTGAAGACTTGCTAGAGGATACACAGTCATGGACCAAAGAAAATCTCAAGTCCAACAAATAGCTAACACAAAATATCCAGCAAATACGGGACACCATAAAAAGGCCTAATATAAGAATAATAGGTATAGAAGAAGGTGAAGAAATAAGCTCAAATGTACAGAAACTTATTCAACAAAATCATAGAAGAAAACTTTCCCAACCTACAGAAGGATATGCCTATGAAAGTGCAAGAAGCTTACAGAACACCAAACAGACTGGACCACAAAAAGAAGTCCCCCCGACACATAATAATCAAAACACCAAACTTACAGAATAAAGAGAAAATATTAAGAGCAGCAAAGGAAAAAGGGCAAGTAACATATAAAGGCAGAACTATCAGAATCACACCTGACTTTTCAATGGAAACTTTGAAAGACAGAGGTCCTGGATAGATATCCTACAAACAATAAGGGAACATGGATGCCAACCCAGACTACTGTACCCAGCAAACTTTCAATCAATATAGATGGAGAAAAAAGATATTCCATGACAAAACCAGATTTAAGCAATACATATCCACAAATCCAGCACTACAGAAAGTTCTGGAGGGAAAACCCCAACCCAACGAAGATGACTATACTCACAAAATAGGCAATAGATAATCCAACTTTACCAAACATGAAAAGAAACAGGAGGGCAAAATCCATACACAATGACACCACCAACAATAAATCAAAAACAAAGAAGAACCAATGAACAATGGACATTAATATCCCTCAATGTCAATAGTCCTAACCTGCCTATAAAGAGATACAGGCTAATAGAATGGATACGAAGACAGAATCCATCCTTCTGCTGTATACAAGAAACGCACCTCAACTTCAGAGACAGGAGTTACTTCAGAGCAAAGGGTTGGGAAAAGATTTTCCAATCAAATGGACTCAAGAAACTAGCTGGTGTAGCAATCCTAATATCTAACAAATTAGACTTCAAACTAAAATCAATCAAAAGAGATGAAGAAGGCATTTCATACTCATCACAGGAAAAGTCCATCAAGATGAGGTCTCAATCCTCAACATCTATGCCCCAAATATGAAGGATCCCACATTTGTAAAAGAAACATTACTAAAGCTCAAACCACAAATAAAACCACACACACTTACAGTAGGAGACTTTAACACCCTCTTTCACCACTAGACAGGACCACCAGACAGAAACTTAACAAAGAAACAAAGGTCTAAGAGAGTTACGGACCAATTGGGATTAACAAATATTATAGAACATTCCATCCAAACACAAAAGAACATACCTGCTTCTCAGTGTCACAAGGAACCTTCTCTAAAGTTGACCACATACTTGGCAACATAGCAAACCTCCACAGATACAAAAAATTGAAATAATTCCATGT